GTTGAAAACATGGTGATTAAACAAATACTTCTTGCGCTGCGGGTTGTTTACACACTCTGGCACTATCTGGTAAAATAATGTCTGCTGATGCCTAATTTATGAAGCCGTGCGCTCCTGGCATCTACCGGCTTTTATGACTTAGATGTTTGCATAATTCATAGTGAATTGTTTTTTATCTGGTCATTTGATCAATAGGATGGTGTGGCTATGTGTCATTAATGGACATGAGGAGTAGCCGCTTAAGAAGCAATCTGTTTTTTTTTTTTTTTAACGATGATGAGTCCGCTATTTTCATTACCTGCTCGAAGGAGAGGAAGCTGATTGATTGATGAGGATGTCAAGAGTTTGGAGATATATTGGGCTTTGCCAGTTAGTATATGAGCCAATCTGTTTCTGAATGTTCAACTGAGTTTGGGATTCCAAGGACTTTATTGTCTCCTTTTCAAAATCAGGCTGTTGTACTTTAACTGGTCATTTGAATTTAATACGTCTTCTGAAGAATGCAGTGAGACTTGTCCTTAAACAGCATCGTATTATTGATTTGGAAAACAAATCAAGCATTTGTATGGCTCTCAGCAAAGATTATTTTTAAGTTTGTGTCTAGAGCATGTGTTTGATGATATATGGATGGATGGTGTTTGTTATTTGTGTCTAGCACATTGAAATGAAGGAAGGTAGGCTGAAAAACTGAAACGGAGGTACGATGTGCCACACAAGTCCTGTGGTTAGCAACACTGCAGTTGTACGAGTCTAAAACTTTGGGCTATCAAGATTCCCTTAAACACTTACTACTTTGAGGAAATTCATTTAATAATTTGTCAGGTTTTGTTGGTGGTAATTAGGTTGTCATTTTCAGTACCTGTTCAGATACTGATAGTATGATATATGCCTAATGCCCATTCAGAGGAGTACAGCAGATTGTGTGAATCATACACAGTGGACTTTGCCCTTCCCAGATCTTAACCCAGTTATGATTTTGGACCAACGTGTAAGACAGGACGTTCCATTACCATCAACAAAACACCACATAATTAAATATCTTTTTGAAGAACAGTGCTCATCCCTCCTGTAGATTTTCTAGAGACTTAAAGAACCAATGAGCTGAAGCTGTTCTGGTGCCCTAAACTTTACGAATACACTTCTGTTTTTTTTGTTCCTTTAATTAGTCACTCGTCCTTACGCTTGTCTCCGATGATGTTGCCTGGCAACAGGAGCGACATAGTTGCTGCCCTAATACAACTAAGGGCCCACTGAGGACCCCAAAATGGACCACTACTCATCTACTTCAAACTCAACACTGCAGTTCCTTTAGCCCCAAGCAATACGCCAACCAAGTTTGAAGTTAAATCAGATATACGGTTGCCAAAATCCGCCATGAACCGAGACGCATCGACGGAGACTTAAAGATGACCTTATGTTAGTCATACAAATTCATGTCTGAAGCAGTCATTTTAAAAAGTGACTAAAAACTACCAAAATTAGTTACTGAAGTTTTCAATTTCCATATTTACAACGTTTAGTGCAGCAAAGTAAAGATTTCAAGCGTATAGCCGAGTGCTGATAGACATAAGGGACCGCTGCTGTTAATGCTGTTGAGCGACTCACTCAAAAGTAATTTACTATAAACTGCTTTCAAGTCAAAGAGGACCAGCGTTAACACCTTCACTTAAGAGCTGGAATACAACAGTGAGGTGTAATCACTCCACTGTTTGAGTGGCGACCATTGCAAAAGCACATTCATTTAGTTTGAACTGAGTAGATGCATTACAGCAAAACACTGCACTGTTTCATGCAGATGGCGCTTGACTTGAAGATTGTGCTGCTGAGTATATAGAGGTCCGTTCTTTACAGGTCGACTTGCTCGTCTTAGAAAATGTCTCAACCTGTGTTCAAGTTAAATGTAAGTTATTATTGACTATATTCTTGAGCACAGCTGGGTTGAGAGAAGTTATTACAGCACTTGCATTGTTCATCACGTTGAGTCACAGTTAGTCTTTTCACCCCAGAGGCTACAAACACTATAGTTCCCATGGAAATGGGCATAGTGACAAAATCCTGGTCTTCATGCTACTCTGGTGCTCGTATGGCTTCTTCCATTATGATGACGTAAATGGTGGCGCACGTCAACAACACGTAAACGAACAGCTCTTCCTTTTACTGGTCTACTGGCTCACAGTCCTGGGAATCAAAAGTAGACTCGACGTTTCACTTTTGAGCAGTATTCACACCTCTTTCTCTTTTTTTTTTTGTTCAAAAAACTAAATTATGAAACAAAGCAAAAATATAAAGACGGCGGTCTTTTGTCAATTTCTGACAAAACATTGCAACATTGTTTTTTGACAAAACAGACAAAAATAAATTTACTTCCTGATGGTATGCTGAGAAATTGAAAATTGATTGTTTGCATAGTCCCCCTGCAAAGCAATACGTGATGAATACAAATTGGCAATTGATTTGTACTGTTTTTGCCATTTTTGACCAAACTCAAGGATAAACCTCCACTGACATCTATTTATTATTAACTGTGACCATGCTACCAGCTACAAGACTTGATGTGAATATTTATGTGGTTATAATTCGCTCTTTCTGCTGGCACTAGTAGTGAATTATGAGTACCACTATGTGTCACCTGTTGGCCGCATATTTTGCACAAAAGAGTTGATTAAACTTGTGATTTCTGTTATCGGGACATTTCTGACAATCTGTCAACACCAAAGCACAAGAACAGGAAGAGGTGGAAAAAGGGCTCAATGCCAGATGAGAGGCGATCGAAGGAACACAGACAGAGGAAGAAAGAGAGAGACGAGGTGTTTTCTTCCCCTTTCAGGGAGCGCAAAGCGCCTGCACTTAGGGAGTAAAGAACTACATCTTCACTCTCTATGTAATCCATATCTGTGATTGCTTCATTCACATCTCCCCGCACTATTTTTAACACCATCTCCTCCTTCTTGTCCAGCCCCGGAGTTGTGTCACTTTTCCTCCTCTCCCGAAGAGACGGGATGGCGGAGATGCCGTATAAACATATAGTACTTTTATTCGGCTGAACCGCTCAACTAGAAGGGAGCGGTGATTGAATTACTGTGACATGATATGCATTAAGGTAGAGCAGAGTGGAATTGAACTGTTGCCCTGAGAGTTTCATCAAAGCTTTGTGTTGTCGCTGAAAATATGGATTTCTATTCATGGCGTGAATCATGGGCCACTATGAAAGGACTGCTGCTGGAGCCATTTTTCTTTCACCACTCGGTCAGCAATCTCTCCGGTTTCCCTGTTCATTAAGTTTGAAGGAGCATCGTTGTTAGCCTATGTAAATGAGATACAGCGTTCCCATGTCAACCAGGAGAAGATTTGGAGGAAGCTGTGGAAAGAAATGACTTCTCTCTTCAGGGTGGCTGGTTGTGCAGGTCTGAGTTTTCTCATGTGAAAGGGATCAAAGCAATCTCGCTCAGTCCTCTTAAGAAAGATAGATGTACGAAATGTGGGAAATCAAATCTTTTTCAAAAGGGAACACCACTGGGAGCCGGAGAGATGAGAAGGCAGCGAGTCAATGGGAAACCAGTGTGAAATCGCTCTTGTTGTTGCACTGTAAGACAAGAGAACACAGTGGTCTCCTGCTGTCCACAGTGTTCATGCAAGATGTGTCTTGTTTGGGTACGTTGGGTAAAGCGGCGGAAAGTGTGTTCGGGGTGTGGGTTTGCGCAGGTTCAGAAGAAAGCGCCCGAGTAAATATGGCGCTGTGCGTCGAAGACAAAACTGAGCAAAAAGGAGACGGGAATCATCATTACAAATGACGAGGTGGTGATAGTGTGAGGCAGAGATTTTATTTTGTCAAACGTGCTTTGATATGAGAGCGTTGATGCTTGTGAGTCCTCTCCTGTCCCCTTAGCATATGCTATGAAAGCTGATTTCACAGCTTATCGCCCTGCTCTGAGAATAAGCCTTGTGAGGAAGGTGTGACATCAAATAGCTCAGATAGAACCCCTCTATTCCTCACACTGACACTTCGCCTTCCTCCAGCGCGCAGTGGTGGCTGCGTGCTTTTGGAACTGTGTGTGAGTTGCACGAAAAGGCTCAACGTATAATCTGTACACGGTGCTTTGCTTGTAATTTCCGCTAGAGCCTGAATAGGTGTATTTACCATAAATCCCGTTTGCCAGCTTGCTCCGGGCGCCGTCATAATGTATGGAGCCGATACATTCATTGTCTGTGCTGCAGGTTGTGATTTTGGAGATACAGGGATGCTTTAAATTCCACCTGAAATTGATTTTATCTAGTCTGTGGAAAGTATTGAAGAGAGGTGCTTTAACAAGTGGCTCTTTGACCAAGAAGGGAAGCTGGGGTCAGCTTAAAGTAAAAACAGCTGGAGTTATTATAAGTAGTTACAGAACGGTTCAAGAAAGTGTCCCTTCTTAAAGTGTGTTTGTATTTTGTCATATTTCCACCAAAATGAAACACACTGCTCTTATTTTAATCCTTGCTACAACCCAGTCAGCTTGTTAACTTCCTCAGTGTTTGCACAGACTGATCACACTCTCTGAACAATAAAACATTGTCTTTAAGGGGACAGTAGGTGCTACTTGGGCTGGAACCTCCAACAAAAGGTTTGATCTAAAATGAAACCTCATTTTGCCCACTAGAAGCTGTGAGGTATTAATATATGGCCGTGCAAATTAGATAATTGCTCATGATGATTCCTTTTAAGTCTGCATAAATGGTAAAATAAAACACAATCTTTATTTTTTACAACAGAAGTAGCTGCATGCATTGATTCACATAATCCAGTGGGCCTTATTGTTATATAAGCAACGTCGGACTGTGAGATTAATATGCTTTTTAAAAACACTGACCAAATGATAATGCTGTAGGTAGAGGTGCATGTGTTTGTGAGCTTGTGTATTGGTCACAGCTGTAGTTGCGTGAAGCCCAGAGGGCTCACTGAGACATGAAAGAAAAATCCTTTCTAGTGTTGTTTTTTTTTCTTTTTTCTTTTTTTTGTCCAGGTGGGCAGGCAATAACGCTTGACAGAAGATGCGACGGGGGTGGTGGCTCGTCAGATGGCTGGGGACAGGAATGGCAATCCTCTCTTTGCTAACCCACAGCTGGGGCCAGGACACAGAAGGTATGTGCATCCAGAGCTCAGGCCATCGCCCTCGGGCCTCTCCCTTTTCAGTTAGCTGTGGCTGCACTGCCAAGAGGAAACTTGCTAGTGTGGAAAAAGCCATGTTTCTTTTCAGTGTCCAAAGAGCAGCATGGTGGAAAAGCATCACACCATTGTTACTGGTAGATTATGGGCCAAACTGACGAGTAGAACCCTTGAACCAGAAGAAAAAAATCGGATTTTCTAGCTCAAAGGTCTTGCACGTTACCAGTTTTTCCTTCTCTGTGATGTGAATTCTGCCTGTAAAGCCATTTATATGACAATTCAGTGTTTGTATTCTCTTGACAGTTATTGATTATTGTATTAATCTGTTCCATAAAGTAATATACAAAAAGAAATATTAGATCTTGTATAGGCTAGTACATAATTCAACAATTTTGATGAAGAAAAAAAAGCATAAAGATGTTCAGTTCCTCAGGTCAGCTCTCAATATTGTGCACAATGCTACGGTGCAAATCCCTATCACAGTGCTCTTGCTGTCCTCGTACTCACATTTGCATAATGACTTTTAAGAGTCATTATTTAAAGAGAGGTAAAGATGTAAATCCAACTCTCTTCCTACACGGTTCAGTGATCAGAGCAAGAGGATTCTCCTTGTAGCTTAATGTTTAAGTTCCCACGTTACAGAGAGAATCTTTTGCATTTGTAGTTTCCACTCACTGAGTTTGTAGCAGGTGCCAGTTAAAAGTGAATTCCAACTTAGACTGGCATGTCTTTAAATGTAGTGCTGAGGGAAAGCTGGGCTCTCACATAGGCATGCTTCAATTCCCGCCCGTGTGGCAAATATTGCAATTCAGGTCAATTTTAAGATGCTATATTTTTCAAAAGCAAATTCCCTTTATCCCATCCCCATTTCCTTCTTTCTTTTCATCCCTGCCCTGCTTCCCAGGCTTCCTTGACAGGTTTATTAATGTAAAAGCATTTTTAGATAAGAGCAGTACCTCTACTTATGCAGCTGGAATTAAGAGTTTGCTTCATGGGTTTATATGTTGTAGTCTTACTAGAGAACAGTAGAGAAATAATTTTGCTTTATGACTGACTGAACCTCTGGAGGAGAACCTTGTGGTTTCCTTCTTGGATGAAGTCTCACACCGAGGCTCTGACCGCATTAATAGATCTTGAGTGTTGTGTGGAGTGACAAAAGCATTGATCCAAAACATAACAACTGTGGAGCTCAACAACAGCCCCCGCCCAATATATCTGCTTTTATTTTTTTGGTTTCTTTCTTTGACAACTCATGATGACTTTTGTTCACAAATGTACTGTTCATTTAAGTGTAAACATGTTATATATGTCTCAACATACAGAACAAATGATCTTTTGGGTTCACTTAAATTTATTTCTGCTTCAGGAAATGTGTTTGCTAAAGCGGCTGTGTTCTAATCTTACTTATGTGTCATTCTTTTCCAGGTATCTCCTCCTAATAGTCACACATCAGTGTAGGGAAGAAAGCATAGTTGTTGACACGGTAAATTCAAGTGCAGCCTGCCATGCAGAAGGATTTTAATGTACACACAAAGTGGCAATTACAGATTTATTTGTGATTTCTGTTTGCTAGAGTTTGTGAGTACTTGGTGTTTGAAAGTTTTAGGTGTTAGAATATGTATCTCTGAGTTTTAGAGTGATCAGATTAGACCTCACACACTATTTCCAGTGTTTAAGTCCAGATCTGTTTGCTTGAATTTGTGTTTTTATGCAACTAATTTGCTTTGGGAAAAAAAAAAAATAAGACATGTCATTGCTGCCAGGATTATCCTTTGATAGGGACCAGGGGATTCCCATCCTGAGCTCTGTGTGTGGTTAGGTTTTGGCAGCAAAAACCCTGTGGAATATCACTGATCCATACCATCAGTACGCAACATTCACGGTTCAGTGTGCGCTTTGTTGTTTGGTACATTCAGTGCAGAAGAGAAAACAAAGGAAATGCATGAAACATTTGCAGATAATTTGCTGCTGGCTTGAAGAAAATAGGTAACTAAAGACTTGTATGTAAGTTTAACATCAGTATGAGATATGTACAATAGTCACCATTGACTCAAATTAATCGGTAAAGGCTGCAGTGCAGTTTTAACTTTAGACTTATACAAAGTAAAGTAAAAAATGTTCCATGTGTAACAGGAGTGTGAATGCACTGAATACACTATGAATACACTATTTTGACTGTAATTGCTCGAAACATGGGGTCTCGTACCAAAAACATAGGCCTCATACCAAATAAAACATTCTGCACCAAATGATTCTGGATGAAAATACGTAGCCTTACACCTCTATTTTCTGTCTCTGTGTGTATATATATTTATATATACGTATATATCGACAGACATATTCCTCTGTCCGTGTCAAAAAAGCTTTTCTCTGCTGATTGTGGATGTGTCTGCAGCCTGTAATTTGACTGGTTTCAGACAGAAATAATTATGAGGCCTGCAAATGAGCTCTGATTGGATCACAGTCTGCCAGCAAATGATCCACAATGTCACAGTCGGAGCAGTGGGTGAGACAGAGTATATTAGACTTGTTGTGGTCTGAAGGGTGAGGGCAAATATGGGTGCTGTTGTTTCCTCCCTTTGCCACTCGCTGTAACCACCGATGATTTTGATACAAGCTGGGATTTCCACCTCCCTCGACACCACATCCCTCATCTTCACACTCATAAATCTCCCCGCTCTGCCCACCTCAAGGCGTCCTTGGCTTTTGACTCTGTCAACTTGTTTGTTGTCTGTCCATAAACCGAAAATAGCAACTGGAAGTTTTGGATGGCACTGAGCTATGCCAAAGACTTTACTTTTCAGTGGCATCACAGTATTTTGCTCGTCTTCATTCAATTAACAGACAGATGTTACAGTTCTTATATTTCTTGTTAATGCGATTTTGGACAGAGTGTGAGAAAATAGCTCCCGACGTTGACAAACCATGTGATTTCTTCCACTAATCAATTTATTTAATTGACAAAAGCTCCATATGGTTTAGTGTTATTGTTCTGCCCCAAATGAATGCATCCATGCTGAAAGCTCTTAAGCTATACTGCATATTAAAGTCAAAAGCTTATTTATGAATGCCACTGTGTGTCACTTTCCAGTAATTGACTAATGGCTCATTCCCCATGAAAAAGAACTTTGAAAATTTCCGCATCTGTCAAGACAAAAATGGCTGATTAGTCTCAACTAATTGAGAACAGCATAAAGAAAATTCAGACAATGTTCCCTTCTGTTTCTGTCCTCGGTGTCTCCTCCCACATTCCCTCTGTGTTCTGTCCCTTAATTCATTTCCTTAACACATTTTTTCTGTCTGCATTTTTCATTAATAATCCTCTCTTCCATGTGCCGTCCTTTCATGCTCTCCTTCTTACCTCGCAGCGTCTGACTCTGACTGGTGGTTTATTGTTGCTTCAATAGCCTCTTTCAACAAATATCAGTTTTGACAGTACGCATGCATCTTGACCCTGCGATGCACCTCCATCCATGCGTCCATCGATTCTTGTGAGAGTGAGACTGGCGTGCAGCAGTTTAACAAATGGTAATGAAAGGTCGTAGCTTAAGTCCAGAGCGCAGTGGACAGATGTACACTGTCCATACCTCTAAATCCCTTCAATCCAGATGTCAGACAAATACACGTGCATGCATAAACACGCTTAGCCGTACTTGTGTGTGTCTGTGTGTGTGTGGTGTGCGTGAGTTAATATTCCCGTGGACGCTTCTGCAGAGTGACATCAGCGTACCTCTCACACTTTTTCCATCCCTGCGCCTGTTACCTCTCCTTCCTCCTCTTCCCATCTGCACAACTATTCTGACCCACAATTGTTTGTCTATTTTTGGGTCTGACTGATTAGGGGCCAGATGTGCAGACTGTGTCTGGCTGCAGCAGAAGCCTGTGGAGTGGGGAGGCAGTGGAGTGACGGGGGGGCGGGGGAGGGGTTTTAATCTGCTCGCCAGTAGGCTCTAATCAGGCTCTGGGCAGCACAAGAAGGGAGGGGGGGGCCACTCTTGGTAAGGCTGGGCCCTGTGCTGCCTGGGGTCTGTACCAACAGGCCCTTCTTAGAGCTCAGTGCGTGAGCATGTGCGTGCTGAACTATTCACTGGGAGTGTGATTGCAACCTTTGCCCCGCTGTCTGTGTGGTTAACCTCACAGGGAGGCAAAGGTAGGCAGCAATGAGGGGGGAGTGTGAAGAAGAGGACTGGAGAGAGTCTCTAAAAGGGATTACACATCGGTGAAGTAGTCCCCTTTACTCATTATCCATTATTAGCCATTAATAATTTACATAATGGGGCAGAAATTCATTTCCACCTCTGTCTCTCCGGCTTTCTTCTTCACTTTTACAATCTGCTATTTCTTTCTCCGCTGCCTGTGTCCCATTTTCTTTTCATTCCATACATGTATCCCAACTTGTGACCCTTAGAAATAAAAACATACACACAATTACTGCAAGGAGCCCTGCAGAGAGACCCTTATTTTCTAATGATGTCTAAGGGAAGAGGTAGAGATTTGGAGAGAATCAGAGACTACCACTACATTTCTTGTGCTCGACATAGGCACACAGCAAGTAGCACATAGCGCAGCATGTCTCCACATCTTTTTTTTTTCTCTCTCTCATGTACTATAACAGAAGAGTGAATGGCTGATGGTTATTGTGTGAGGCGGCGCTGCAAGTTGGGTTGTCCACAAACTGTTGTTTGGCATTAAGTTGGGTCAGAATGAACTGAATTAGAATCAGAGTTAGCTGCTATGAGATCTGTGTAGAGTATTGGCATCAAATCAAAGCTGCAGGAATGATCTTACTACAAAGAAAAAACAATCTTACATATATCTGAATGTAAGAATTATTTATTTTTATTTTTGCATTCCTGCTTTTGCACATTTGAAAACGTGTAACCATGGTTTAAGTTTGTAAGGAATAAAGTTCTTGGTAAGAATGGGTTCAATCCTATGTTACATTTTTATTAACCAATGATGACTGAGCTTCTCTT